TAAAAAAAAAAAAAAAAAAGGAAAAAGGAAAAAAACCCATTTGATACCTACATTGTACTAGTCAGGATCCGTTTAGGAGAGAGAAACCACGAAGGAATTTGAATACGGAAAGTTTCACATGAAGAATTACTAACTATAACAGCAGACTGGAATAACGGGGGAATGGCTAGTAAGGAGTAAAAGGAACTCTAAAGAATACAAAATAGCAGAAAAAGGCAGAAGCCTCTACACCTAGGTCTGAGACAGAGGAACCAAGAAGAGGTCCCTCATCCCAGGGCTGAGACTAAGACCTTGGGAGAGGACACAGCTGTGGCTCACTGAATGGTGAAGTCAGCTGAGGCTCTGAAGCCACCCAAGGGGATGCCAAGGGAAGCTCCCCAGGGGGAGGTGCTCTGTGCTGCTGATCACCAGGCACAGCTGGAGCTAAGAGCTGCATGCGCTGCATTAATCTGGTGCATGAGGCACGCTGGAGTGAAGAAGGGAAGCCCCTTCCTCCTCCATTGCTCCTAGAGCGCCCTCTACTGACAAAGTTTAACATTGGGCCAGCCCTCAAAAGGAAAAACAGGTACAGGGTCCACCTCCATGACTGCACAGAGTAAAGGATGGCTTTGGGAGCTGAGACACAATAGATTAATAACCTGTACATATTAATGTACATATCATGTATTAAAAGAGTACGTGATATACCAGAGAAAACTGACTCAGAATGAGCAACACCAAGACATATTTTAGTAAATATACTGGATATTAAAGGGGAAAAATCCTTTAAACATCGATGGGGAAAGGAACAAGTGACTTATGAGAGGACGAAATTAGATCATCATCAGACTTTTCAACAACAATGCTTGGTACCAGAGGAAAATGGTGTGACCCATCCAAGAGGGCAAAAGTGTGAGCCAAAGAAAACTGACTTTATATCCAGGAAAACTATCGAGTATAAAAGGTACAAACTGTTATCAGTGTACAAGAACTCAGGGAATATTGTTCCTATGAAATCTTCCTGAAGAATTTACCAGAAAACAAGCCTCAGACTGACAAAATTACTTGACACTTCAGCATAAGAACTAGTGGACAGCATTATATACATAATTACTTGGAGAACCAAAACTATATGAGGCTTAAGAGGAAGAGAATATAAATGTGGAATCTAAAAAAACAAAACAAATAGACAAAACAAAACAAAAACACACTGTTGGGCACAGAGAACAAACAGGTGGTTGCCAGAAGGGAGGCGGGTGGGGGGAAAAGAGACAACAGGGATTAAGTGGTACAAACCTCCAGTTAAACAATAAGTAAGTCACAGAGATGTCACATATAGCATAAGGAATATGGTCAATAATATTGTAATAACTTTATGGGGAAAGATGGTTACTAGACTTACCATGGTGATCATTTCATAACGTACGCAAATGTCAAATCATTATGTAGTACACCTGATCTAACATAATATTGTATATCAACTATATTTCAATAAAAAACATAAAATAAAATGGAAGAGAATATGGTATAAGAGGGCTATAAGCTCGACTGATGTAAATATAGAATAGCTATAAAAAAGGGGGTGAGGGGGCTTCCCTGGTGGCGCAGTGGTTGAGAGTCCGCTTGCCGATGCAGGGGACAGGGGTTCGTGCCCCAGTCCGGGAAGATCCCACATGCCGCGAAGCGGCTGGGCCCGTGAGCCATGGCCGCTAAGCCTGCACGTCTGGAGCCTGTGCTCCGCAACGGGAGAGGCCGCAACAGTGAGAGGCCCGTGTACAGCAAGAAAAAAAAAAAAAAAAAAAAATGGGGGTGAGAACTTTAAAACTATTTTCGCTTATCATTCTGGTGGTGGCAGCATTAGTATTCCCTGTCGTGTGTGTAATGTTGCCTGAAACAAATGAATAATTGTGGGATATTTTAACTACCATCCCCTGTGTCCTAAAAATCAGGATTCTCAGTGTGGAAGAAAGGAGATGCAGCTGTAATTTTTTTAAAGATTAAATATAAAATCTATAGTCCTGAAATTTAATTGGAAATAACAGTATGACCTTACGAGGGATTTCATCCACGATTCTATCTATACCTATTAGCTCTGACCACTGAAACGACCTAGAAACCATGACCAAGCCAGTAGCAGTGAGCATCCCTGGAGTACACATTGTGGTCAGGAAATGCCATTTCCCACTAAAAGTCAGGGCTGTGTGGAAAATGACTGACTACTGGTCTGAGGAGAAAGTGTACAGAAGGAGCCTGGAACATCTTGACATAAAGGACAGCACACAAGCCATCACAGAAAGGTTATGTGTAGACTAGGGTAGTCTCAAAAGAACACAGGAGCCCACCCACAGATGCTCCCACTGGTCAGAGACAGGCCAATTTGAGCTTTGAACATAGTAATAATTACAACAAACTACAACTCACCAAATTTAGTTAAATCCATGAGTTCACAATGATATTGAAAAACTGAACTGGTCACCTCCAGAGGATAATAAGGAGCCAGTCTATTATTTTGCAAACTGGCAAACATAGCGAAAGAGGAAAGCATTTATCCTGCCTCTCCTATGTGAGCTATACCATGGGGTAACCTCATGATAGGTGAAAGAAAGCATCTGTTTATAAAGAATTCCAGCAAGTAAATGAAAAAGAAATGATGGAATTAGAATATCATGATCATTTTGTAGCAGTGGCAGCTGTGGTTCTTTTCATTACCTTATGTAAAACACGGGAACAGTCTCATCAATGTTGCCATCATCTGTTTAACTCAGTATATTTCCTCAAAGCCTGTTTACTCATAAATTGTGTGGAGTGACAAAATTAATAGGCAATAAAATGTGAATCACAGCACAGTGAAAACAATGTATGTCACCCTTTTGGACCCCCAGGGAAGTAATGGATCTAGGGGCTGAACCTCCAAGGCTAAGAACACCCAGAAAAAGAGGCAGTTGATGAAGGAACACATCACACTAGAGTCTCGTCAAAAGGATAGAAGCTGGGTCTGGTCGAGCCTCTAGATCCAGCTGACAATGGGCAGCAAACACAGCAGGCAGCAGAGCATGCTGAGAGGCCCCATGAGTGGGCAGCCAGCAAAATCCAGACTGTGGGAAACACTGCAGTCAAATGGCCTGGATTCCTCAACCAATAAAATGAAAGGAAAAGAAAGGGATGAAGGAAGAACCTGTGGATTAAAAGAGGTAAAATATGTGGGTTTTTTTTAAGGGGGCAAGACTGAACCATAGTCTAGGGATGCACACTTGGATGAGGAAACTGTAAAGAAACAAAAGGAAGTGACTGCAGTAAAAGCCAGGTAGTGGTTACTCTGCAGTGGCAGAGAGGGGCTGGGACTGGGACAGGGAATGTGGAGGAGCTGCTGGGGGCGGGGGGGGCTGCAACGTTCTACCTCTCGGATTACAAGAGCATTTGCGGTGTTTGCCTTATTATACTTCATTAAGCTCTACGTTTGTCTTGTAGAGTTTTCTGTATCTATTTCATTTCACAATAAAAAGATTTTTAAAACAAGGAGTGTTTAAGAATTGATGCGTATCTATTAAAATACATCGCATACCACAATGGTATGAACAGCATGCTTGGAGAAATGCTGACCTTTTCCATAAACCTGAGTATCTTGGGGTGCTAGAAGCCACCCTGCCCCAGGAGAGCCTCTCTCTGAAGACCTCTGTGTCCACTTGGAATGGATGGACTTCATGGTGGTGAGTAGGGAGTACAGCAGGAAACTGTTGTCCGTACTGGACAGCAGGAGGGTACAAGGGGCAGCCAGTGGGCATGGTGTGATAGGGTCGGGGGGGTCCTATCGAAATATATCCCCAGCCCTACCGAACATATGCAGCTGAAACCCAGGATCCTGCTTCAACCATAGCATCTCCTCTGCCGCCCACTGGGCCCCTGCAGACCTACACCAGGCCAGTGGGAGTGACTAAAGATGCCATAACCAGGTTAACATCCTGAGGCGTGTGGAGATCTGCAGCAGAACGGTGTTTTAGAGACATAAACTGCTACTGTGGTAGAGACCTCCTATCCAGCAATCACTCCCCCTGATGCAAAAACTGCACACCCATCCCAGTAGTCATGTCTCTACTATATGGTCCTGTCCTCCTGGTCATAGCTGATTTGACCAGGGAGGGACTCAAGACTCCATGCCAAAGATGGAAGACGTCTGTGGTTTACTGTCCAGAATCTATTTCCCCTCTCTCTGGTAACATCACCTCAAATTCCTTTTCAGACACTTCCCCTGTCCCATGTGGTCAGGGTGGACACTTCCCATCTGAGATTAGATTAAACCAATAAATTATCCCAATCACGAAGTGTTCATGGAGGGGTTAGGAGTCCAGGCATGAGCCAACCAATGTATCTTATTCTCTTGGCCCTGCGATTGGTTGAGACATGGGCACTTGACCCAGGCTGGTCTAATCAGAATGAATCTTACAACTTCTATAGGGAATGATGAGATCGCCCCACTCCCTCTCTTATTCTGGGGTGAGGATGAAAGGTCTGGAATCGCCCCTGCCACTGTTGGGATCTTGAGGGAGGGTGCCTGAGAAAAAAGCCAGAACTCAGAGGTGCGCAGAGCAGTGGCCGGTACAGAGCAAAGGAGTGAGCTCTCTGATGACATCCTGAACCGCTGGCATCCGTTCAGTCATTCCTCTGGATTTTATTACATGAACCAATATTCCTCCCCTTCTTTTTCTTTCTTTTTTTTTTTATTTGCGGTACACGGGCCTCTCACTGTTGTGGCCTCTCCCATTGTGGAGCACAGGCTCCGGACGTGCAGGCCCAGCGGCCATGGCTCAAGGGCCTAGCCGCTCCACGGCATGTGGGATCTTCCCGGACCGGGGCACGAACCCGTGTCCCCTGCATTGGCAGGCGGACTCTCAACCACTGCGCCACCAGGGAAGACCTCTTTTTTTTTTTAAAATTGAGCCGGTTTGCATGAGGTTTTCTGCACCTTGTAATTGGATGTTAGGAATGTTGAGGCTTCAAGTAACAGAAAACTCTACTAATGATGACTTAAGCAAACATGGGTACACCTTTGGCACAGAACACAAAGTCCAAAAGATGGTGATCCAGAGCCTCTCGTATAGCTCAACAATGTCATGCGTGCACGCACACGCATGAGCACGTGGAATCCGAACAAGGCCTGAATTATATCAAAGTCAATTTCCTGGTTAAAGTTATGTGAAATGTTATAATTGGGGGCAAGTGGGTGAAAGGTACACAGAGCCTCTCTACTATTTTTGAGACTACTTCTGAATCTACAATTATTTCAAAATTAAATGTTTTTTAAAATAAGATATGTAAGTGCATAGACAATTCTGCGAATGATTTCAGGGGCTTCGCATCTCTCTGAGGCTCACCTAGCTTCCTACAGTGAAAGGCTGGGGCAGCATTCACTGGCTCTCTCCTCTCTAAAACCTCACATTCCTGCATTACCACCCAGGCCCTGCCTATTAAGTTGCTTCAATTTCCCAATGAGACAGAGAACAAGACAGCTCAAAGAGAGAGGTTGGCATATGTGAAATTTATTCAGGTACCTTTCTGGCGGGTGGGGCGCACATTTGTATGCACACACACATCCCATACTCTGGCAACAACCTGGGTCTACCATCAGACAGAATTCATTTACCACTCTGGGACCTACAGTTTTATCCCTTCAAAGTCATCTTCTTGCCCCAAGCCCACCTACAGATTTTCAGACAAATAACTCAATTTGGAGAGGAAATTAGCCACATTATCTGTTCTAAGTTCCCCTAGTCCATTGATGCCAAGGCCCCAGGGCCCAGTCTGTGTCTTTGTCCAAAATATACTGTTCAGGTTCAGGCTCCAGCACTATCCCCTTGGCACCCTGATGCACTGCTGCCCTCTGCTGGTTGTTTCTAGGTAGTACTTAAAAATTCATATAAAAAAAGCAACGACCCCAGTGGAGAAATGAGTAAAGGACAAGGACAAGAAAGTCACAAAGAATAAATGCAATGGTATAATCAGCATATGAAAAATAGCCTCACTGGTAATTAAAAAGATGTAAACTACAACATCAAGGAGATAATACTCCCCTCAGTCAGGTAGGTGTCTAATGGAAAAGAATGACAATGTCTATCTAGTGCTATCCAGGGCTGGGAACACATGGTTCGTCACAAGGCACACATAGAAGTGATCACCTCAGCAAGGCACCCTGGGCTCCACTGAGTCTCAGGGGTGGGAAGCGTTTATGCTCTTGGCACCTGTAACTCACTCGGGCTCTGGCACCCTGGCACCCTGTTGTGAAGCTCCGGCTTGCACAGTTTGGAGGGATGTAACTGAGCAAAGCTTTCTGGAGGAGTAGCTTGGTTCCCTGTAGCAATGGCCTTTAAAATCCAAACTACTCTGAATCTCAAACATTCCACTTCGAGGAATTTTTCCTAAAGCAGTTATCAGACAATTGAGTGAAGGAATTATAACCAGAAGAGCCAATCTTCATGCCTCCACGTTCTCAGGCAAGGTGCCCCCATTCTCCCAGAAGCCAACCAGGAAGCCATGTCAAAATTCACAACCAGGCATGTGGTTTCTTTAAGGCTGACCTCCGAGAGGCTGTCTTTGCTGCTTGAAACCCTTCCCCAACCTTCCCTCCACGCTCACAGGAATGGGGCCAGTTTTTAGTTATTTTTCTCTTATTTCTTGCCCATCTCCCCACAGAACAAAAGCTCTATGAAGTCAGAGATGCAGTCCAGGAGTTCCAACGGGTGATCAGCAGCGGGATAGTGACCTGAGGCCCCAGGAGCCAAGTGAGCGCTGAGGAGCTACAGTGTTAAACTGACCCAGGTGGGTGAAGGACCACGCGCTCGCCTCCCAAACATGCTAGAGGAAGGTGACAACCTGCGAAAACAGAAGCGTGACTTCTGTGTTATGTGTGTGTAAACCCCTGCGTGAACAGGGATTTTTTTCACAGGGTTATTTATAATAAAAGACAATACTGGATGACCCTTTACAAATTGACATCCACAGGTGGAATTCAAAACAAGGGAGTAGCATTATTCTTATTGACAACTATTCCAGGTAGCCAGTGCTGAGTAACAAGCCACTCCCAAGCTTGTAGCTTAGACAACAGCAGCATTTATTTTCCTCACCAATCTGCAGTCTGCAAGGGCTGGGCAGGGAGACCTCGTCTCTGCTCCATTTGGCCCTTGCCTTGAAGGCTGGATGCTGGAATCACCTGAAGGCTCACTCACTCCCAGGTGGCACCTGTACTCTGAAGACCCTTTGGGCATCTCTCTCCCTCCTTCTTTCTCTCCTCTGCTCCAGCCCTTGCCCCTCCAGGCGACGGTCCAGCAGGGTAGCTTCAGCAAAGCCAAGGGACCCCAAGGCATGCATCCCATGAAAGACAGAGCTGCATGGAAGCTGCGTCGCCTTTTCTAATCCAGCTTCAGATGTCATTCAGCATCACTTCTGCCACATCCTATTCAATAGAAGTGTGTCACTGAGACAGGCCCACATTCAAGGGTAAGGGAATTGGGCTCTCTCTTTTGTGGGAGGAGTGTCCAAAAATTTGTAGACATATTTTAAAACCACCACAGCATGGAAAGACGTTCACAATACATTAAGAGAAAAAAGCAAATTACAGAACAGTGTGAACAGCCTGGCAGAGCTAGTAGCCCCTTTGCTGTCCAACCACACCTAGTCCCAGGACCTAAACCCGGCCACCTCAAGCCTCCCTGCCTCCCAGCCTCTGGAGGTGCGGCCATGCCTGAGCTTCAGGCTTAGTCTCGGAGTGGGATCTGGATATAAACCCAGCTCCATCATGTCGTTACTCAGAGCTGTTTCCTTAGGAGTAAAACCAGAGTTATAACAGAACCGACCTTAGAGTTGCTGTGAGGGTCCAGTGAGCTACCCTAAAAGCATTTAACCCAGCACCTGGCACATAACAAGTGCTCAAGTGCTGTGGCTCCACCTACACAAGCCTCGCCTGGTGGAGGCTACACAACTGGAGCCAAGCCCCTGGTGAACAGCTTGCGGCAATGACAGGATGCCGCGCCACTGCTGTAAGCCCCCAAACGGCGAAGTGCGACTCCCACTCCCCGGAGCTCTGGGTAAGCAAAGACGCCACCCTCCATCCACAGCAGGACCAGATTGTGCGTCCGCTAGTTCCCTCCCATAGGACAGGCATTGTTCTGCGTGCTGAGCACCCCACCACGCAACGCAGACAGCAGAGGAGAGCACAGCCCCTGCCCTGGAAGAGTTCACACTCTGGCAGCGGGTGCAGATGACTGAACACAGGGCTATACTGTAGGCAACAGGCGGGGGCACAGAAAACGATGTGGGGCACCAAACGTGCAGAGGGAGGCACTATCCTCAGCAGCGAGAGGTTACAATAGGGCTTCATGGATGAGCATGTGCCAGGTGGACGAGGAGGAGGGGAGGCAGGAAACCCAGGCAGACGGTACAGAGGCACAGAGGTCATACGGGCAGATGGGCACCCAGGCAAACGGTACAGAGGCACAGAGGTCATACGGGCAGACGGCATGGCACTTTCTGAACAACCGTTCAGGGAGACTGGAGACTTGGGGTGAGGAGAAGAGGGACACGTGACACACAGCTCGAGGGATTTCTCAAGCTCTGACAAACTTGGACTTCATGGAGGGGAGGACGCTGGAGGGTGTGCAGCAAGGACTAACACTGAAAGAGGACTTGGGAGGCAGGGGGAGGCTGCACTGTCTGCAGGAGAGGCTGCCGCCATAGACAGGGAAGTACGGAGGGGCTGAGAGACGAGGGAGGCACGGGGGGAGCGGGGGAAGGGAAAGGCAAGGAGGTGAGGGTGCAGGGCTTGGGGAGGAGGGAGGACCAGCCAGCACAGGGATAGAACACTGGGACGTGGCAGATTTGGGCTTGCACAGCTATCAGCCTATTTCCTGGGGTCCACATTGTTGAAAGATCTCCATTCTAACCCGAAAGCATCAAGATAGAGGGTTCTGAAATGAAGTGTGCCAAGATCCTGACCACCAGTGGAACCCAAACATCTACAACAAAAATACGAACATCAGTTAACAACCACTAACACCTGTGCTCATGGCAAGTCTGGCTTTGCCTCCTGTAATCCTCACAATCCCCCTTAGAAGGGGTGTTACTATTGTGCTCCCTTTGCAGAAGAGGGAAGAGGCCAGAGCGGAAGGTCACACTGCCTGCTACAGGTCTCTTTCCCCTAACCATCAGGACACACTGCCTCTCACTGGCTCTGCTTCACCCAAGACTTCAGGTGTTCAAGAAACTTGTCAGGTGACTGAAGGGCGCTTTCCCTGCACCATCAGTCACCATTCAGATTCACAGCTCATTCTGAATGGCCAGCAGCACAGCATGACCACTGCTTTAGTGGGAACACCCTGGTGTATTTACCGAAATGACAATGTGGTCCCTGGACTTACTATACATAGTACTTTATCATGTTAAGGAAGCATCTTTTCCTTAGCTTCCTAAGAGATTTTATTAGGATTGTATATCTAACTTTAGAGAATTCTTTTCATCTATATTCATAAACCAGATTAAGAGAAAAAAACCTATCTTTGTTAGATTTTGGTAATAAGGCTCAACTAGAAACTTTTTTTTTTTTTTTTTTGGCCGCATGAGGCAGCTTACAGGATCTTAGTTCCCTGACCAGGGATCAAACAAACCTGGGCCCTCGGCAGAGTCTTAGCCACTGGACCACCAGGGGATTCCCTAGAAACATTTTTTTTTTTTTTGTGGTACGCGGGCCTCTCACTGCTGTGGCCTGTCCTGTTGCGGAGCACAGGCTCCGGACGCGCAGGCTCAGTGGCCATGGCTCACGGGCCCAGCCGCTCCGTGGCACGTGGGACCCCCCCGGACCGGGGCACAAACCCGCGTCCCCTGCATCGGCAGGCATACTCTCAACCACTGTGCCACCAGGGAAGCCCGAAACATTTTTTTTTAATTGAGTTTTCCATTCCTTCTTTTTTTACAAAAACCTGTTTAGCCTATGATGATGAAAGGAATCACTGAATCCTTTAATAACAAGAATTCACCCAGTAAACAACATGAACCCAGAGCCTTGTTAGATACATCCTCAGTAGCTTTTACATTTCATTTCTTGATTTTTAGCCAGTTCCAGTATTTTATTTCTTGAGTGAATTACAGTCACTCAATTTTCCAGAAAATTCTTTTTATCATTGAATTTCAGATAGATTGATAGTGGGTAACATCTTACAGTTTTAAAATCCTAACTGTTCCCTTTATTCATTTATTGTCTTTTATTAATTAGATTTTCCAGGTATATATCTTTTTCATTATTTAAAAAACCCCTTAGACTAACTTTTGATCTTGCCGGTTAATTTGTTTCTGCATTTATCTTCATCATTTCCTTCCATATACTTTCCTTAATCTTGTATTTTTTAGCTTTCTTTGGCTGCCTTCCTAGTATATAATGGGTATCCAAAGAGTATACTGAATGAATGAATGAATGTTCAAAGACGTGAAGTGGCAGAAAAATGGGAAAAGGATGGGTTCAAAAAATATAAAAATAGAATTGTCAGGATGTGGTGAATCAGACACAGGGTAGGGAGGAGTTAAGGATGAACCCCAAGTTCTGGCTCAGGTAACTGTTTTATGGACTGAATTATCTTCTCCCCAAACTCATATATGTTGAAGCTCTAACCCCAATGCGACTGTATCTGGGGCTAGGCCTTTAAAGAAGTAATTAAGGTTAAATGAAGTCATAAAGGTGGGGCCCTAATCCAATATGACTGATGTCCTTATAAGAGAAGGAAGAGACACCAGGGATGCACATGCTCAGAGAAAAGACCATGTGAGGACACAGTGAGAAGGTGGCATCTGCACTCAAGGAGAGAGGCCTCAGGAGACACCAAACCTGCCAACACCTTGATCCTGGACTTCCCAGCCTCCAGAACTGTGAGGGAATAAGCTTCTGTTGTTTAAGCCCCCTGGTCTGTGGTGTTTTGTTATGGAAGCCCTATAAAATAATACACTTGGTGAACTGTGGGCACCATTTGCTGACTATGTAAGCAGACCTGGGAGACAGCAAGTAGAAATGCCCAGTTGTCTGTTGACCATACGTGTTGGCAGAATGAGCCAGAGATAGAGATTTGGGTGTTATAAATGGAAGTGGAACACCATGGGATGTTTACACAGAAGTAAAATAAGACAGTCACAGTGAAACTCCAGCAGACATCTCCACAGGACTCTAAAGGAAGAGACGCCCCTGAAGAAATTTTAGAATAGGCAGAAAAACACATGGAAAACCTAGAGAGATTATTGGGGCCGTGAAAACTAAGAGAAGGACACATAAAGAAGTGGACTCAACATTGCCAATTGTAACGTAAAGATCAAGCCAAATAAAGACCAAAAAGGTTAGCAAGTTGGAGATCTATGGTCTCCTTGACAAGAAAACCATCAGCAGATGGCTGGCAGTAGGAGTCATGTGGCAAAGGGTTCAGGTGTGGATGAGGGAGGAGGTAGAGACAGAAAGGGTAGACAACTCTCAGGAAGCTTGTTTTATAAGAAGAAAAAAAGTGGTGGCTGCAAAGGGACATCAGGCTCAGGGAGGGTCTCCTTAACGTGTAAAGTTCTCCATCACATACAGCCACTAGAGGAGAGGCCAAAGACACGAGTGAAAACCCTTGGGAGAAGAGGTGAGGCAGATCAATACCACACAGGTGGACAAACGACACTCCCATGGAAGGAGGGTTGCCGTTTCCACTGTGATAAGAACAAAAGTGTAAAGGGTGGATGTAGATGATTCTGTAGGTGGAAGACAGAAACTGACAGTTTCCCCACCTAGTGTGATTTTCACTCTGAAGTAGTAATAGTCATCTGCTTAGAGTGAGAGGTATGGAGTAACTGGTTTTAAAAAAACAGGGAGGGCTTCCCTGGTGGCGCAATGGTTAAGAATCCACCTGCCAATGCAGGGGACACGGGTCTGGGAAGATCCCACATGCCGTGAAGCAACTAAGCCCGTGAGCCACAACTACTGAGCCTGTGCTCTAGAGCCCGCGAGCCACACCTGCTGAGCCCACGCGCCACAACTACTGAGCCCACGTGCCTAGAGCCCGTGCTCCGCAACAAGAGAAGCCACCGCAATGAGAAGGCCGCACACCGCAACTAAGAGCAGCCCCCGCTCGCCGCAACTAGAGAAAGCCCGCATACAGCAACGAAGACCCAACACAGCCAAAAATTAAATAAATTAATTTAAAAAAACGAACAGTGAAACTTAACAGCTATAGGGAATGAATGAGAGCTGACAAGGGGCATATGACGTGATGGCCCAACAGCTCTGAGGAGCCAGTTTAGAGACGAGTGTAGTGGCACCACCCTGCGGTTGTGTGATTTCTCCAGCGGTTGTATGAGGGTGTTGTATGAGGCCCCAATCTCTTTAGATCTTCCTGTGTTTCTCTGCCTGTTTTAAAATTTCTTCACGGGCATCACTTCCTTTAGAACCCAGCTGAAGGTATTTGCTAGGGTTCTGCTGTGACCTTCTTATTTTACTTCTATACATTCTCCATAGGTTATATGATTCACCCCCATGGTTCCAGCCCATTTCCTATGACTCAAAAGTTTGTAAAGGTAACTAACTGGATGAATCCATAGTAGGGTTTTGCTAGGAAAAAGCAATGTAAAGACAGGCACAAATGACCCCAAGAAGATCTGGGCTGCCTCCTATCTTGGCTCTCCCCATCACTGCATTGTGGGTTTCATCCTTAACCAAAGGACAACAGTTCTCATCCCTAATAGACCCAACATTCTTTTTTTATAATGAACACGCATTATACCCACTTTTATTGCCCTGAGGTCATTATAAATAACCTGCTTAACAGACACAGGTTTAAAAGATCCATTTAATGCCCTCAGGGTAATGTAAAGGAAATGTAAAATGAAATTTATAATAAAAAATATATTTCAGGGCTTCCCTGGTGGCGCAGTGTTAAGAATCTGCCTGCCAATGCAGGGGACACGGGTTCGAGCCCTGGTCCGGGAAGATCCCACATGCCATAGAGCAGCTAAGCCCGTGAGCCACAGCTGCTGAGCCTGCGCTCTAGAGCCCATGAGCCACAACTACTGAGCCCACGTGCTACAACTACTGAAGCCTGCACGCCTAGAGCCTGTGCTCCACAACAAGAGAAGCCACTGCAATGAGAAGCCTGTACACTGCAACAAAGAGTAGCCCCCGCTCGCCCCAACTAGAGAACGCCTATGCGCAGCAACGAAGACCCAATGCAGCCAAAAATAAATTTTTTAAATATATACATATATTTCAATCTGTAAATCTCAAGCATAACTACAAGAAAAGAATTAATAAAGCAGTCAGATGTTCATGGCTGTATACAGATCCCCAGGAAGACAGGTACAATCAAGTACTGAGCAGGGTATGCTATACTTGAAACTCAAACACAGGAGCACTGTGACATTCCATCAGGTCCAGTAAAAATCAGCCAATTGCTACATTAAAAAAACAAAAAGTGGGCTTCCCTGGTGGCACAGTGGTTGAGAGTCCGCCTGCCGATGCAGGGGACGCGGCTTCGTGCCCCGGTCCGGGAAGATCCCACATGCCACGGTGCGGCTGGGCCCGTGAGCCATGGCCGCTGAGCCTGCGCGTCCGGGGCCTGTGCTCCGCAGCGGGAGAGGCCACAGCAGTGAGAGGCCCGCGTACCGCGAAAAAAAAAAAAAAAAAAAAAAAAAAAAAAAGTTTTGAAGTCTCAAGCTATGAGAATAATGACTTTTAAGTACAAAAACTGGAATGTGGTTTGGTTTCAGGCAACCCAGCACATGAAAGATAGAGCAAACAGCAAATACGTAAAGTATCACAAGCTGTTTGTCATATTAGTTTCTTTGATAACTACCCTTTCCTGCCACTCTAAAGTTTGGGGATGGAAATCCGTGGCCAGTGGTGGTCATCTTGGATTTGGAACACAACAGCCTGTACCTGGGGGCTTTGACCACCTCCCTAATGTTACCCAAGAAGAACCATAAAGCCTCTCATCTGGAAAGAGAGTAAAGAAGGCCAAACAGGCCCTCAGGGAGCAGACAGCTTAGAGTAGCCACAGCCAGGCGGTAAGCACTGCTACCAAGCAAACTGTTCATACTGCAGTGTCTCCCTCCTGACCTAAGATGCTTCCCTGTTGCTGAGGACACCTCTTCTGAACACTGTATTTTTATGTCAAACACCTATGCACATTTCAGACCCAAGCCCAGCTGTCACAGCATACTAGACGGGAAACTGCAGAGCTCGGAGGCCAGGCCTCCTACCAGAGTCCGACAGAGCAAAGAACATTCCAGCTGTTCCCACAATTCCTGGAGCCCCACTGCCACACTCTCTGCTTTCATATAAAGGGGCTGGGTGGGTTTGGGAAGCAGAGGCTGCGATGTGTTGGGTGTCAGTTAAGAGCAAGATGAGCCCTCAGAGGAATAAGCAGCTAGAAGGGTACCAAGGGTCAGTCTGGGGAGCAAACTCTAAATCAGAATGCAACACAGAGAAGATGGCAGGGCACATAAGTAAGGAGATCCAGGAGGCTTCGTTTTACCACTGAACACCAGGGTACTTCTCACATGTAAAGTGAGGATGACTGTAACAATACTTACCCTTACCAACCTCAGGAGATTGTTTGGTGGAAGGGATTCAATGACTTATTGTAGATGAAGACATTCTGTACAGCACTTTATGAATGTTGTTCTTATTACTGTCATTACTCTTTTTTAAGGAACAGCAGACCCATGGAGAAGGTGAACCTAGAGCTTCCTAGGGCCTGGGGCAGTCAAACAACTAGTGGTCACACATTTCATACCAGTGAGTCACGCTTCCTACCTAGTCCACTCCCCAGTGGGAAAGATAAGGATGGAAGACCACTTGCAAGAGTGAGAGTGACTGTTTTGTGTCTGGAAAGAATAGCTGGAAAAACCTATAAGGCTGGGAGGTGTTTTTGAGAAATACGTTTCCAAAAATTTCCCCAAAATGTGTTCCACTAAGTATTACCAAAAAAGGATTTGGTGGTGAAATCAGTGTTGGGAACAGGCTTCCTCCCCCAGGCCTTCTTTGAGACCTTAACAATGAATTTCCAGTGAGGATATGGGATGCAGGATGTGCCGAATTTATTTAACAACAGAACCCCTTTTCCACAGAGCATCTATCAAAGGGTTTCATGAAACATACTTTGGGAATTAAACCCTCCAGCTGGGCATAATGTTATATGGGGACATAAATCATAAAAAGGGAAACAAGAGTATTTTGTTAACATTTGATCAATGGTAGGCAGCTGTTGGACATTTTGGAAAAAGGAGAAATCCATTTTTTAACCATGGCACTGAAACAGTATCACATTTTCCCTGAACCACCCTAATTCTAGCCCCTCAAGATCTACCAGCTATGCAACCTCACATTCCACAGTCACATACATTAAATCTACTTTTATTTTGTTTTCTAAAATGTGCTTTTTCTCTCTTTAATATCAGTCCAGGACCTCCACCTCCCCTTAAAAAAAAAAAAAAACACCACCACACGCACACATACACACACCCCACCCTCCAACCAGGTGAAACTCCCCGGCGATTACTCTATAACAAATATTGACACGAGGGGGGAAAAAAGCATGTTGAAATGTATTAGAATCAGAACCTGTACAAAAAAAAAAAAAAAAAATTAAAATATAACCTGAAACTGTTCAAGTTCAGAAAGGCTAGTCAAGTCCTTTTCTCTTGCCAGGAGAATGCCATCATCAGAGGGCTCTGGGTCACCAGCCAGGGAGGGTGGGAAGAAAGAAACAGAAGCAGCAACAGATCCTTCACCAGATAGAGGGGCCTCAACACCACCATCCCCACCACGGATGCAGCCGGGAAGAATTAAAAGATCTCGGGAGAACAAGTGTTGGCAGACAGCCCCAGTGGGCAGCCGGGGTCTTGACACCAAAAACCAGTCTGAGTAGTCAGAGGCAGCAGGGAGCGAGGCCAGCGGAGAACACCAAGCCGGAAGAAACTTCCGCCACCCAGCAGACCCGCAGCGACCCCTACGGGTGCTCAAATTCCAGAGGTTAATCAGCCCGGTGCTCCCAACTAATGAGAGACTGGAGCTGGGCGTAAGAGGCTGAAAACCCGCAGGTTTAGTAAACATAGCCCAGCATCACATCCCTCCATGGCCTGATCTGAGCTGCCAACAAGGGATAAGGCAGGAGAGGGAAAACAAAGCATTCTGATACCTGGCTAGAGCGCCTGCACCATGGTGGGCACTGTGGCACATGGGGCTGGAGAAGGAGTGCCTCCCGTCACTCAGAGAGGGGCCTCCTTCGCAGTCATCCCTGTGGGCCAGTTAAAGCTGCTTCCAGCTTATGACCAGCCTGACAAAATGACACGAAGCAAAAGAAAAACTGGGAGGGATACAAGCCCTTAGACAGAGACAAGAACCTCCTGGAGGGAAGCTGGGCAGTGTCTGGCCCTGTTGGGATGGCATCCGTGGAGCCCCTGAGTCTGAAGGGAGCAACTGGGGAAGAGGGAGTGGGAGAGGGAAGGGAGTTAACGGTTCTTCTGGAACAGTACCAATGTGGGGGGAGGCGCTGGTGAGGGGATGGGCAGGTCTGGAACTCATGGAAGGTAGAGAGGGGAGGAAATAGGCCCTTGGTGTCCCCTCCCCACCTGACCCAGGCCTGGTGAGTGCCAGCTGCCCCAGCCGGCCCTAGTGGCGGCTGGAGACCAGACCTTTCACTTTGGACATCTTCTTAGTGGGCTGCCTCTGCTCAGCATGGGGGGGACACTCTCGTTCAGCCAACTGTTGCTCCATCTCCTGAGCTGAGGAGGACGCAGTAGCTTTGAGTGTCTTCTTGATGTTGGTAACCTGGAGGGAGACACAGAATTGGTATGGTCAGCTTGTAAGCGCCAGAAACTCACTGCAACTTGTTCTCACTATAAGGGGGGCCACTCAAGGGAAGAAGCCAGAATCCTCTGCAAGAAAATCTGAGATTATCTTCAGAAACTCAGATGAGGAGAAACAAGCAGGGGCTGCTCATGGAAGACACATGGAAATGAGTCAAGCAAAACAGTGGAACTAATGCTTTCTTGGTTGAAAATGGGGAATAAGCCAAGTGGTAGTGGACCATTTGGCAAAAAGGTACAACACAGCAAGTGAAAGAAAGCACTGGTTAAAATGGCCATAGAAAAAGAAAGGGTGACACAAGATGCTATACTCAGCTCATTACTGTTCACATATGAAACCACAGATATTTTCACCAGAACTTTGGGAATACAATTCCCGAATTCCCACAAGCCCTTCTTGAATAAGCAACTAGAGGAAAAACTTCAGCCAACTAAGTGACAAATGAGAAAAAATGTAGTAAAAGAAAAATGCGACCACAGTACTGTTTTCAGCATTCCTTTCTTCGATTAACAGAGAGGCTCCGAAATATTTAAGCAACTCCTAAGCATATCCTATGCAGTATCTGTGTACTGCTCTAGGATGAGTGTTCTACCATTTTTTAGTTAGTTCCCAGTTTGTTTTTCACTTATGTATGGTGCTCCTGTGAACAGCCCCCCATGTTTAACCTTTGCATACTTTTGTGAACACCTGTGGAGGACATATTCCTAGAATTGAGCTTTCCACATCAAAGGGTTTACACATTTTACTTTAGTAATGATTGCCATACTGCCTTCTGAAAAATGATTGTACCAACTTGTCCTTCTACCAATCATGTACTCCTGTGCCCGTATTTATACACATTCCCCAACACCAATTCTAATGGATTGTTCATGCCTTTGCCCTTCAGCTAGCTGAGGTGTATTGGTGCAGAGTGAGGTGTATGTTTGTCGGTAAGAAAGTAAAGGCGGGGACTTCCCTGGTGGTGCAGTGGTTAAGAATCTGCCTGCCAGAGCTTCCCTGGTGGTGCAGTGGTTAAGAATCTGCCTGCCAGGGCTTCCCTGGTGGCGCAGTGGTTGAGAGTCTGCTTGCCGATGTAGGGGACACGGGTTCGTGCCCCGGTCCAGGAAGATCCCACATGCCGCGGAGTGGCTGGGCCCGTGAGCCATGGCCGCTGAGCCTGCGCGTCCGGAGCCTGTGCTCCGCAAGGGAAGAGGCCACAACAGTGAGAGGCCCACGTACCGCAAAAAATTTAAAAATTAAAAAATTTTTTAAATTTAAAAAAAATTTTAAAAATCTGCCTGCCAATGCAGGGGACACAGGTTTGAGCCCTGGTCCGGGAAGATCCCACATGACGCGGAGCAACTAAGCCCGTGCGCCACAACTACTGAGCCTCCACTCTAGAGCCCGTGAGCCACAACTACTGAAGCCCGCGCGCCTAGAGCCCATGCTCCGCATCAAGAAGCCACCGCAATGAGAATCCCGCGCACCGCAACAAAGAGTAGCCCCTGCTCACCTCAACTAGAGAAAGCCCGCATGCAGCAACGAAGACCCAACGCAGCCAAAAATAAACAAATAAAATTTTTAAATAAATAAATAAAAGATATTTGTTTTTGTTTCACTTCAGTGTATTCTGATGGCCTTGGGGGAAAGGTTAAGAAATGTGATTTCTCCGTTATCACCGCTTTATAAAATAACAAGGTTTGTCCAGTTTGATATGTTTTCTAAGCATTCATTCAAATGCCTATTTACCTCCTCAAGCAGCTTTTTCTTATAGAAACTATCTCCCAGTAAGCTATTATTTCAGGTACTCAGTGACCCTGGTAAGCCAGAAAAAGAAATGAGACTTACCCCAAGGAAAAACCTGGTTTGTTCTGCACTTCTGACACGCCACTCAAGACCCTGTACCTTCCTTCCCTTCCACAACATGTGCCCTCCACTCGAGCCACGCTAGTCCCCGGCCTCACACCCGGAAGCAGTCATTTCTTCTGCCTTGTTGCCTTTCCTGCACCCTGTTATTCCAGCCTGGGCAAGCCTCCTCCTTCGCTAGCCACCTCTGACCCTACCTCTTCCACAAACCCGTCCTGACCACTAGCCTCCCCTCAACCTATATTGCCTGGCAGCGCCCTCTCACTCTCGGATGGCGGCATCCTGTGTGCTGTGTCTCCTCTGTGTTTCAGGAGTTCACATCTAGCTTCCAGTAAGACTACGTACTGACAAAGTTGAATCCTCCACAGTCAGGTAAACATGCCATAGGGAAAAAGAGGGCTTCTTGGGCAAGTGTCTCTTAGCCTAGGAAATGAGGCCCTTTATCTTAAACAAGGCCTCAGCCTGGATGGGGGGGATGACATGGCTCACAGGGGCCCTATTATGGATATGTCATGCTCAATCAGTTTGACTGTTAGCATTTTAAACACAGGGAACTCACAAAGTAGACTGCCGAGCCAATAACAGACTCTCATAGTTGAAGGGGAGTTAAGAGTCAACTAGCTTTTTGTAATAGCTGTGCAGGTCTACCTGCAGATAGCTCCTTCCGGGACCCAAGAGTGGCCACTCATGTAGGTCCACCAGTTAAGCCCATCTCAGCTTCAAGAAACAATCCTGAGAAGTCTAACTCCTCTTTCACAGAGCCGCCCTTTAAACGACGACTAGTATCCCGCAGACTTGCCTTCTTTGGCCTAAATGCCCCTGATCCTTCTAATTTTCTTCCTTGAGTAGTCTGGCTTGCAGGCCATCCCCATCCCATTACCCCAGATGACCTAGAGTTTGTCAAGCCCCTCAAATCATGGGCCTCAGGAGTTTTCAGGTGGGACTGCGCCTGCTAACAAAATCACAGCCTAGTTCTACTAGAGACTTTAAATATTCAGGCAAAAGGAGAAAGAAGAGAGTCTTAGGGTAGGAAAACCTCTTTGAGCTATGGGGCAGAGCAAAGGGAGACAACAGAAGTAGAGTGCACAGTGGGGAAAGGGTTACATAGAAAAGAAGAACGGGGAGATGGAGAGAAGCACTCCCGGAAGCACCGAGAAGCACACTCTTGGCGCACCACACAGCCAACAGGCTCAAGATCTGTCACTAACTTAACTCCTGGGGCATTTTCTACATAAAGAAAAACAGGGCTTACTTTGTCCAATTATGCTCTATTACCTACCTGACTGGAACACAGCCTATTTTGTGAATGCAGCAAGAACTACAGATTGACATTCCAGAGAACATCAGACTTATAAGCACACTGAAATATAAAGAAAAATACACTCCAAAATCAAATGCAAACGAGGAGGTGCTTTGTGGAGGTGATCCTTACCTCCCCTCCAGGGTATCTGCTCAGAGGTAATGACACAGCTCATAACGTTATTGTTCTATCTCCTCCAGGTATGCTGGAATTGTAACTAATTATGCGCTATTTCTGTGAAAAACTAAAAGGAGAGAATATTCTTAGGCAGTTTGTGATAGGGCTGACTTTGTTAAGAGGGAAGACTCTTAAAGCTAATACTCAACAGAAGATAGCTGCTGTTATAAGATTTTGGGAGAAAAACATCAAGATTTCCCCTCTGGGAACAAGCAATCTAACTTAAGGGCAAGTAAAGAAAAGATCAACTCAGTTGAGAAAATGACTATAAAAGTTAAGTCAAGGGCTTCCCTGGCGGCGCAGTGGTTGAGAGTCCGCCTGCCGATGCAGGGGACAGGGGTTCGTGCCCCGGTCCGGGAAGATCCCACATGCCGCGGAGCAGCTGGGCCTGTGAGCCATGGCCACTGAGCCTGCGCGTCCGGAGCCTGTGCTCCGCAACGGGAGAGGCCACAACAGTGAGAGGCCCGGGTACCGCAAAAAAAAAAAAAAAAAAGTTAAGTCAAGAGTAATGGAAGCATAAATACAAGCAGAATAGGACAGAATTACAGCTGTGTTTGTGGTAGATCTGTTTTATTTTCAAGTCAACAAATACTTAGTGAGCACCTTCCATGTGCCTTCAGCTGGGGGACGGTCAGCATCCCTCACATAGTAGCCAGATCATGCATCTGTGAATGGAAAAACTGTCAAGGCTCTGGGCTTTGACCACGCTCCCACTCTTCTCATACCTGTCTGTTCTAGATTTCCTAGAAGATTATTAAATTAGTAAACTGTTTTAATGGGTAGTGGAGGTGACCTTGGAGGTTTCCTCAAATTTCTTTCTCAAACTTAATCAAATCCTTACTGCCACCTGGTGGCAGCATCAGGCTCTGCCAGCTGTGTTTTCCAGCAGTGGAGGCTGAGAGCTAATCCATGTGTGCTGGCTCTCATTTAATAACCATAACCTAAGGAGCCCACACTGTTGTCTACGTATTGGTCGTGCCTCAACATTAGGCAGTGCCTTTTTTCATCAGATGCCATTTTTTCTGGAAATAAACTTGAGCCATTCAAAATTCTAAAACTAGTATCATTCAGTTTTGCAAATGACCACAGTCAAGCCCACCACCTGCCACACAATTAGCAACAGTCCGAGCACAATGGGGCAGCCAGTAGCGATCAGACTCCTCCTCCTGCGCCACCAACCAGGTTTAAGAGTGTTTCAGGCTATCCCAGGTCAGGTGGGCGTTTCGCCTCCAAATCTACTGTTTCCAGGGTCTGATGTACAGGGAAGAATCAGTGAATACTGTCCTACTTTGCTCAGACATCAATCCCAGGTCAGAGAAGAGACCAAAATATTCAAGAGGGGGATCACAGAGCTTATTAGAGAAGCTGCAGGCTTACTTTCCTAATTGCATCTGTCTTTGACTAATGCTAAATTAAATATAGTTCACACTTCTTTGGCTAGAAGTAGAGTTAAAAATTTACAGTGGATGGAACATTCACAGCATAGGTATGCATATATATACAGGGATGTGTGTGTCTGAAATAAATGCACTCTAGTTCATGAAAGCAGAGTTCAGCAGTCCACTGACACCTATAGGGTGTGCCTGAAATATAAACACTCATTTGAGCACCTATTATGTGCTCATTAGGCATGGGACAAGGAGCTGGGCTTACAAAGACCAGGTTTTATTTTCAAGGAGTACATACAACAGAGCAGGGGAAATCTTCAAATTTTACAAATCCCCCTTAGAAAGGCACAACTACTTATTTCTTATGTTCCTTAGCTGTAACTCAGGGTCCCATTCTGCTACACTCTAGGATACCTGACTTCTAAAATTCATTAAATACCATTAAATGCTTCAAGCTCCATCACGCTAGAAAAGGACTTTCAGTGCTAAAATTCTGGTCTTCAGGGCTCCAAACAAATTGGGAGATGGCTCCACAGGTGTCCAGGCTATAGGCAGACAAACGCCCACTAACTCAAGGGCTGGAGCCTGCGTCTCTCCCAGAGGCTAAAAATGTCCTGAACAACCAGGCATCTAACACCACAATCACACACTTTTATCTTCACCTGCATTTCATCCACCAAATCGTTTCCCTTTTTTCCTTTTTCAAGATGAAACATATCATGCATTTTAAATGGTTACAACATACACATACAGATTAGAGAAGAATACAATGAACACTGTGTACCCACCACACAACCTAAGAGGCAGAGCAGCACCGGGGCCTTGAAGCCCCATGTGCCCCAGCCCAGCCGCACCCCGCCCTCTGCCCCGCCTGGTAACCACCATCCCTCCATCCATCTTTAAGACCCATCCCCAAACTCGTTTCTTTTGCTCTACAGCTGCAAGGTGCGTGTAAACTGAGGAATTACAACATTCCGCTCTCCGAGCCCGCTCACGCTCTGGTGACCAGGAATCAGAAACGAGACGGACAGCACCAAGAGGAGGGCCTGGGTCACACTCGCCTCTAGCCCAGCACCTCACCCAGTGCCCACGAGCGAGTGAGTGCTGTTTCATCTACGCCAAGATCACAAGACAAGGGACAAACAGGGATACCCTGGAGTGGGGACAGGCGTTCTCTTCCTCACCTCGGCCTCTACCTGCTGCTGAGTTCGGCTGTGGTTTTCCTTGTACTGGTTGGCTCTCAGAACTTGCTGCTCGATGCCCAGCAGGACTGCCTCGCAGCCATCGCACCTATATAAGAGATAACCAGCCCTGAGCCCCAGAAAAGCCTGGTAGTTGTCCTGCAGCCTCCCAAATCTCCCTCCCCGATTCCTTAGAGACTTCCTGTAACACTCCGTCTGCCAGGGCTCTTGCCCCTTCACTCCTTCCAAAAGACAGGTGTTTCTGAATACATAACATAGGGCATATGGAAACAAACATGGAGGATGTGGGGTGGTTTCTTAGAATACAGCTTTAATTTCCAACCTTTGTATCCCATGGGAAAGCTTCACGGACTGTGCAATTAAAGGGATTAGGAGGGACTTCACAGATGGCACTGATTAATCAGTTTTCTCAATAGAAAAATTTATTTTCTAAAAGCATCCTATTTTGAAGATTGCCCTTTTTCTCAGAAGTGTGTTACTTCCCAACTGCCACCCCCTCCTCATTATATCATTTTCCCCACGTTTTATTTTGAAAATTTAAATACGTTAAAAAAAAAGTTGAAGGTATAGTACAATAAATAGCCACATACCCTCCACTTTAGAGTCAACAGTTGGGAACATTCCACGTATTTGTGGTGCCGCTCTACATGCCAATTTTGTTTCAAATCTAACTCCAATGCATAAAAACAAGCTGTAGGAATTCGTACTAGTAAACATCCTGGAATGGGGGCTAGAATAGGCCCTCTGGATGCAAACACGTTGAAGCCAGACTATGGAGGTGAAAGACGGTGTCAGTCATCTCAAAAACGGAAAAAGACAGCCAACTTTAGCGGGACTGGAAACCTAGGTTTTGTATGCCAGACCATTTTCATGTTAGGGGTGTTTTCTAAGTTTATTTCCCATTTAGTCTGACTTCACCGTTTTAAAATCTTTTGAAAGTTACTGCTTGTGTCAGATGTTGTAAAGGGAAGGGGTCTGGAGTCAAACTTGGGACAGAACCTGGGGTAAAGGGTGGGCAAGTACATGCCTGGGGATCCAACAGTAGCTGAAGTGAGGGAAACTTAGGGGGCTGTGGACCCCCAGAGAGTCAAAGCTGGGCTGTACATCCCTGGATACACACCCCTAGAGGCTAAGCCAGAGAGTCAGTCTGTTTAAAGACAAAATGAACCCCAGCCCTCTGCACAAAGTCTGCCTACTCTGCCTCATGGCCTCCGACGTGCCATGTGCCGCCTGGGAACACACTCTCCTCACCTCCAATTATACTCTCACCCTGGCCCTCCTTCACAACTCAGCCTTGAATCACACCATGACAAATCCATGTAGAACGTGCAACAGCTCTTGCGAACATCAAATTCCATTAAAATGGAGTACATGCAAATGTTCCACTTCCTTTTATATACCAGAGTATGGTTATCAAATATTCAGTATATGAGTCTGTGTTCCAACTTAGAATAACCCATTCCTTGTCTTTAATATCCTTCACAATGTTTTACAAACACTAGCCCAATGTTACTGATGCCGAACTTGGTTCTCTTATCCAAAGAATCTTACCAACACTAATTCCCAAGCTTGGTCAAACACTGAGGGTGAGTCTGCAAAGCACAGGATCAGTGTCACACAGCGAGGCTTCAGAGGCTCCACCTGCCAACTCTGGGCATTTTACAGCCTGCTACTAAACAGCCCCCAACTGCACAGGACAAGAACTATTTTACAACCATGGCACTAGGAAGCCTGAAGTGATTCCTACTGCCACACAGCTGTAGTCACAAATGCAGCCCCACTCCCTAGCTTGCTGTCCCAAGGCCCCAGCTCCCAGGCAGCCCCAGCTGATACCTGGAGACCACATTTCCCCAAACAGAGGCATAGAGGGCATGCTAGGTATCCCCTCCCTAAAGAGGGGGGCACCTCCTTCTTTGAGCCTCACCATTCATGCAAGGTCTTGACAATATTATTGATATCTTTCTTTCGGATGTCACGGCCAATGCAGAAATCCACTTCTAGCAGCTGGTTTCGCTGATCCAGCTTGCCCTGGATGATATCAGTGTAGACAGCCTCGATGATGAGGTCTTCCAGTTCCCGGAGATTCCGCATCTCCAGGTCCTTCAGCAGCACGGAGTAGGGGATACACTATAGATAAGGTACATGTGATGTTTACAAAAACCATTGGTAAACATTAAAGAAAATTCAGGTTATTACTCAGATAGCCAACATATGCCTCAGGGCTTTGGGAAATGCAGTCTAGTGGTAATTATTAACATCTATGGCAACAAGAGATGGATAAATGAGCTGTGAGACCCGTGGGATCCAAACAAGACCCACAGCATCTAGGAATGCGTTCTCCTCCATCCCCTGCCTCCTGGACTTTGCTCAGCTTCCAGCTTTCATGCTCTGAAGCACACTCTTAGAGATCCCAAAGACTCTTTCTAGAGGAAAAAGGGATATCCTCAGTATGTGGCACTCTGCTGCCTTTTGGAAGCTGGCAGAATTTGTATAAGACGCCAGATCATCCAAAAAAACTCCAAAGAAATCTCAGACACTGGACACACAAACTGGCTGCTTGCCCAGCAGAGCACAATTAAAAATCTTACAGTCTAATGCACCCACCTACAGGTGGCCAGTGGATACTGCAAGCTCAGAGGTCATCCTGAAGTTTACATGTTTTCTTGGTTTCTGACAACCAATGTCAATTCCCCAACAGTAGTCTTGTAATGGACTGTACCGACATTCTGCATGACTCCAAGACAACTGGATATCTAAATACCAGTTTTCTGTAAATCCTATGACACATCACTATTAGTTTGAAAATTAACACAGCAATCAAATCTGCAGAAACAGGAGGAAGATGTATGAGGAGAAGAGGGCAAACATACCTGGGGGTTTTTCTATGACTAAAGGTCTGAAATCCAGGGTTGGTACAGGGGCTTAGAATGACAGGTTGGACAAAGGATTAATCTCCAATTATATAAGCAGCTCATGCAGCTCAAGAGTAAAAAAACAAACAACCCAATCCAAAAATGGGCAGAAGACCTAAATAGACATTTCTCCAAAGAAGATATACAGATTGCCAACAAACACGTGAAAGGATGCTCAACATCACTAATCGTTAGAGAAATGCAAATCAAAACTACAATGAGGTATCACCTCACACCAGTCAGAATGGCCATCATCAAAGAATCTACAAACAATAAATGCTGGAGAGGGTTTGGAGAAAAGGGAACACTCTTGCACTGTTGGCGGGAATGTAAATTGATACAGCCACTGTGGAGAACAGTATGGAGGTTCCTTAAAAAACTAAAAATAGAACTACCACACAACCCAGCAATCCCACTACTGGGCATATACCCTGAGAAAACCATAATTCAAAAAGAGTCATGTACCACAATGTTCACTGCAGCTCTATTTACAATAGCTAGGACATGGAAGCAACCTAAGTGTCCAGCGACAGATGAGTGGATAAAGAAAACGTGGCACATATATACAATGGAATATTATTCAGCCATAAAAAAGAAATGAAATTGAGTTATCTGTAGTGAGGTGGATGGACCTAGAGACTGTCATACAGAGTGAAGTAAGTAAGAAAGAGAAAAACAAATACCATATGCTAACACATATGTATGGAATCTAAAAAAAAAAAAAAAAAAGGTTCTGAAGAACCTAGGGGCAGGACAGGAATAAAGATGCAGAGGTAGAGAATGGACTTGAGGACACGGGGAGGGGGAAGGGTAAGCTGGGACGAAGTGAGGAAGTGGCATGGAAATATACACACTACCAAATGTAAAACAGATAGCTAGTGGGAAGCAGCCGCATAGCAAGATCAGCTCGGTGCTTTGTGACCACCTAGAGGCATGGGATACGGAGGGTGGGAGGGAGACGCAAGAGGGAGGAGATATGGGGATGTAAGTATACGTATAGCTGATTCACTTTGTTGTACAGCAGAAACTAACACACCATTGTAAAGCAATTATACTCCAATAAAGATGTTAAAAAAAAAAGAATGACAGGTTGCAGAAACGAGGGAAAAAGTCGCTCCTACTCTTTGCTACACTTGAGAAGTTCATGATCAGGACAAAAAAAAATTCAGGTCCTCATTTCCTAACAAAATAGGCCTCCCACCTTAAGTGCCCAGCTGAGAATCAGAAATTTGTGATTAGGCCAGATAAAATAATTTTAGCACGTGAAACAGCAATCCAAGAACAAATATACATCTCTCCAGCTCAATCACAGAGGGGAAATGCAAAAAGCAAACTTTTTAAAGGCACAGCCCCACAAAAATTTATAGACATTTAGGCTGGGATTGGGCAGAGAGCCAAAAATCAACTATAAATTAATCAAACCTGGATCTTCTTTGTTAATGGCTATAAGCAGCTGGTTGCACATCTTCTTCTAAAAAGAAGAACTCAGAGATATAGTGGAGTGGTATCTTACAGAAGGTTAGGGTCAGAAGTTAGCACAGAAGGCAAAAATTCCAATTAGTATAATTAACCTTGAAAATCCCCAGAGGAAGGCAGCATATTAAAAAATCTAAAAAAAAAAAAAAAAAAACTATCTCTCAGTAAGTTCAACATAGCAAGTTTTTCCTCCAGCACAGGAACAGTTCACTGTGCACTGAGCAACAGCTGAAGCAGTTAACTTGCCTTGAGATGCCTTGCTGTTTGAAAAATCTGTATCTTGAAACAGCAGTCTCCTTTAAGCATGGCAAAATGCTCACAGCACGTGGGGTACCATGGCATGCCAGAACCGAGACCTGCTGATTCACAATCACTCCTGGGCATACTTTTCCTAAATGGAATGGTGAGTAATTATCTACACTATTTTAACTGTTATCTTTTTCTCTCTTGTCCTTTGCCAGGCAAATTTTATGCATTTATGATGCAACTCAACTGTGTGTAGCTGGGAGTTCCCACACTGATGCCAACGTGACACCTGCCTCGAGGTAAGGAGGAAGACAGGAAAGGGTTTGGATCGTACCTTCATCCTTGACGCCAAGCTCACGATGGTAAGGTGTTTCAGCTTGTTCTGCTGAGCTGTGCTCAGTTCTGGCAGGCTCTCCTTGTTGGCTGTTCAGTCCCACCCACCACAAAAATCAAGACACAAAATAAAATTAGGATTTCTTCATGGAATAAGCACACCAACTCCCCACATCAAACCTGCTATTGAATCACTGTCATGACTCTGCACTTATTCACTAGGCAAATGTTCCAATAAGCACCTCCCATCTTCTCTGAAATACCATGTGCTACCAAAGAAGACAAAACTGAATCTCTACACACAAGAAGCTTAGTCTCCTAAGAAGCCGGGCATGAGTGCACAAAACGGCATGACAATTCTCTTACTGGAGTACTATTTTCAACATGTCTTCACTGAGCGTCTGTTATGTGCAATGCACTGTCTTAAGTGATGCAAGGGGAACAGACGGGGCTTGTCAGGGCTGCTACACTCCGCAACTCCAGGAGCACCAACTACCACCCAGAGTTGTGCAACTCAATGGCCCTGGACTTGTCCTCAGTCTTACCATCCAATGTTTCAACAGCTAAAAATGCAAGAGAACTACCAGAAGAAAGGTACAAACTACCAGAAGAGAACAAGAGGGTGAGGAGGTGGGGGAGAGGCAGAAAGGGAGACAGAGGGGGAGAGAAAAAAGAGAGAGTGCAAGTGAGTGCAGTCACACTGGGGAACTGGGGAGGTACAGGAGACAAAAAGAAAGAAAGGTGGACTATGAGATGATCCTTGAAGGACAGGCAAAACTTTAGCAATAACAATAATAGCAACAGCAATGGCACCAGCCAAGGCAACGTATATGGCAAGCTTTACTTAGTGTAAGTGCACACGCAGATCCGTTCATATACACACACATCCAGTTAGTCCTCACAACAGCCCCACAAGACAGATTCCAAATGTCTTCAATTCCTTATCCATAATGCTGGATTCCAAAAAGGTGAATCCACACTGCTTTTTCTCCCTTGAGCACGGTGCTGAAATTCATTTGGTGGCAAATCATGACCTAAATTGAGTTAGGCTTTTTATCCCACTTGTTGTGAATATTCATTTGTTTTGCTGCAAAACTGTGAATGTGTTTGACTACCGGTGCTGCCCACATCTCTCGAGGGTGTTACATAAAAAAGTATATGCATCATATTACCTTTTTAAAGTCCCCAAAATTCTAAATTATGAAACATCTAGCCCAAGAAGTGCAGATTAGGGATTGTGGACCTTTTTATTACTCCCATTTTACAGATAAGGAGACTGAGGTACAGAAGACCATTTAATTTACCAAAGAACACACAACTATTGAAGTGGACACAGAATATAATGCAAGAATCCTGGTTCTAGAGTCTGTAAAATGCTGCTCTTTAGTGAGGATGGAAACAAAGGATACACACACTGGAACAAAGTGAAGGTCAGAAAAAGCTAGCAAATGGCAAACTGTCCAGTCTGGCAGCAGCACCAAGTAAGTAGAAGTGACCATGGAGAAAGAAAATGAGAAAAAAGGGGAAGTCGAGGACATAGTAGAGAAGACCCTGAGTCATACCACTAAAAAAACCTGCCAGGCCTATGTCATTATCACTAAAATAAACTAGGGAAGCCAGACAAAAATGGCTTGGGTGGAAGGTAAGTTAGTGTCTGGACATTCATGCACCTCATTCCTGATATTTGAGATTCTAATTTATCAATACAATGACTCAAATGATCTACAAAAGAGAATGGGGTAAGTAGATTATGGAGTATTCGATTATGGAATATTAAAAATGACTACAAAGACTTAAAACATGGATAAATGCCTATGAAATAAGTGAATAAAGCAAGATATAAAATGGTATACATAATCTACTTACACCTACATATCAGAAAGCACAAGCACAAGGAAGAAAAGTCCAGCACCGTAATGCTAACAGTAGTTTAATGGGAGTACAAGTGACTTCTTTCCCTGTTTTCCAAACTTTCTTCAATATGATGATAGTATTTAGATAATATTTACAACGCTTAAATACTTTACAAAGTATTCTGACATTTCACAACACTCCAAGTGTTCTACAAACACCAGTCCTCAAGAATCTCATCTGGAAAATAAACAAGGGCTATATTTATGGATGAGCATAAACATAGTCCCCATTTACCCACTGGGAAATAAAAGGTGGGAACGAAAGTCCTCATGGGAGGTCACTTACAGAGCACAGTAAAATGAGAAACAGCCAGGTTAGGAAGATACCACCCCATGTTTTATATCCCAGACCTCAGTGACCCTCATGAAGGCAACATATCCAGACAGAGCAACAAAATTAAGAAAAGTCTTTGGAGGATCTTAACCAACTCACCTATGTAATCTGGGTATGTTCCATAGGCAAACAGATTCAGCAACTGCAAATAAGCAGCATTACCTCCTTCTGCAAGCTGAGGAAAAACAAAAGCAGTTCACAGACCGAGCTACCAATCACTGCAGTGTTCAAGAAGAGGGCAGGTGATCACATGCCACAGTTCTGACCGTTTTATTGCTTGGTCCCTGAGGTCCCTCCCAACTCTTTGAGTCTTAGGGAAAAAATAAATAAGGCCCCAAGTTTAATTTTTCTCTCTCAGGAATACATGCTTTATACTGCACAGAGCATGCCCAGGAGCTACTTCTGTCACACAGACGCGCACACACACAAAGCAGTAAGCACTGGGAGCAGTTCAGGTTTGCTCAGGATTCCCCTGCCATCAAAACAGACTGGAGGGACTTCCCTGGTGGCGCAGTGGTTAAGAATCCGCCTGCCAATGCAGGGGACACGGGTTCAACTCCTGGTCCGGGAAGATCCCACATGCGGCGGAGCACTAAGCCCGTGCGCCACAACTACTGAGCCTGCGCTCTAGAACCCATGCACAACAACTACTGAGCCCGCGCGCCTAGAGCCTGTGCTCCACAACAAGAGAAGCCACTGCAATGAGAAGCCCGCGCACTGCAACGAACAGTAGCCCTCGCTCTCCACAACTAGGGAAAGCCCGTGCACAGCAACAAAGACCCAACACAACCAAAAATAAATAAGTTAAAAAAAAACAGACTGGAGCAGTCTTGTCAATATACCAGCTTGGCGGGTACAGCACAAGCCACTATCAATCCAAACTGAAAAAAGTGTAGGGTTGGCTCCAAGCTTCAGGACTACATGTGGACTGTGAATGCTGGAGATTAGCACAGCATAAGGCGTGACAGAACAGCCCAGCTGCGACAGGAAACCAGGATACCAGCCCCAAATAAAAGTTTTCATTAGAATTACTTATTCCTCGCTAATGCTAATGGCAAAGAGCTCTCTGTAGAAGAAAAACGAAAGAGATACTGTTCTGCCAGGAACTGCTCTACTCTGCTCTGCTGCCAGTTACCGTAACTGGGTGTTTCCCTTACTCACAAATAATGTACCTGTTACTCTTCCAATTTACCAAACTCAATAAAGTCTAAACAGGAACCAAGTGGTATTCTGTGGACACCAACACCACCACTTGATTTTAACCATCTTTTAAAAAAAGCTTCCAAAAACTACATCTGTAATTTCTGACCACTGAAAGGCAGCTAGCTTATTCCCAGCTCACATATGGAAAAAAACAAACTATGGGAAGATAAGGGTGATTTGCTAAGCACTCCAACGAGAACTCTAGCATCTGAATACCCCAGTCTACTGTCTCAGGTTACCGAGAATCTCCTGAGGCCCTGAATCATAAGTGGAAGAGACCATCAAATCTAGCCCCCACTTTTCAGACAGACAATTACAAAACTAGCCATAAAAGACTATTTTCTCTAAAGCAGACACTCCAAAATTTCTCCCACTGGCCTAAGTCAACAAGGTCTTTCTGGCTTTAATTTTCATGCATCTCCTCTTACCCAAACTTCCATATGAAACAACCACCTGGCATATTCATTCAGGCTTTTCACAAGCTTGAAGAAACACACTACCCTTTGGTCATCTCTTCTTTTGAAAAATGATGAGCTACCAAGCCATGAAAGAGCAGGGAGGAAATTTAAATGCAATATTACTAAGTGAAAGAAGCCAATCTGAAAAGGCTCCATATGTATGATTCCAACTACACAACATTCTGGAAGAAGTAAAAAGATCAGTGGCCAGGGATTAGAGGGGAGGAAGGGATGAAGAGGCAGAACAGAGGACTTTTAGGGCAGTCAAATACTCTGTATGATACTGTAATGGGACATGTCATTATACATTTGTCTAAACCCATAGACTATAAAACACCAAATGTGATCCCTAATGTAAACTATGGTCTTTGGGTGATAATGACGTGCCAGGGTAGTTCCACACTGGTGGCAGGCTGTTCATGTATGAGAGCACAAGGTATATTAGAACTCTCTGTACCTTCCTCTCAACTTTGCTGTGAATCTAAAACTGCTCTAAAGAAATAAAGCCTATAAAAAAAACCCTCAGTTTTCTTAAATTTCCCTCACAGGATTCCTTTTCTATCTCTGGTAATTAAATTTTTACTGAAAGTCTACTGTGTGTCAGGCTACATAATAAGCTCTAAGGAAAACAATGGTGAGCACAATAGATCTTACCCTCACGGAGCTTACAATCTAGCAAGACAGGCTGACATTAAACAAAAATTTACAATTAAAAAATAAAACTAGGGGCTTCCCTGGTGACGCAGTGGTTGAGAGTCCACCTGCTGATGCAGGGGACGCGGGTTCGTGCGCCGGTCCAGGAGGATCCCACATGCCACGGAGCAGCTGGGCCCGTGAGCCATGGCCACTGAGCCTGCATGTCCGGAGCCTGTGCTCCGCAACGGGAGAGGCCACAACAGTGAGAGGCCCGCGTACCGCAAAATAAATAAATAAATAAATAAAACTAGGTCTTCCTGTTTCCAGCTATTGCAGGGAGAGGAAATGATGCCACTCCACACATCTGCAATGGATGATCATGGGGAACTGCTCAAGTTTACTAACCAAGAGGAATAAGCAGATGTACAGCAGCAAGTCCAGTAACGTGAAGACCCATACTCCTGCTACAACGGGCTGATTCACAGCAGGGCTACAGGCATGGAGCCGGCAGCCAATGGCAAAGGTGTCCTAGTGTCATGAAGAGAAGAACTGGCCAGCAAAAGCCAGCCACCCCATATGTGTGGACCACCATCAACAAGAATGCCTGGGCGACACTCAGTAGCATCGTGCACATGATGCGCAAGAACAAGTACTGCCCAGATCTGCACATGGTGGCCGTCAGCAGAGCAGGCACCACCCTGGGCAGCCAGGAAGAAGCTGTGATGGTGAAGAGGAAGCCAACCCACCCTACCAAGAGCTCCTGAGCACATCCTCCAAAGTAAAAAGATGTCACCAGACTTTTCAATCAATCAATATAAAAGTATCAATCAATAAATATAAAAATATCCAAAATGGGAAGTAGAGGTTGAAAAAGTATAGGTTGCTTTACATGTCTGTTCCACCTGGTTACTCTTCACCAGATCTTCTCATTTTTAAGGCACAACAACCAAAAGTGATACCCAAGGTTTTAATAACAACATCAAACAAGCAAACAAAGCAAAAAGGACTACTTCCCAGCTTTTCATGTCATTTTTTTTTTTTTTTGGCCAACGTTGGGGGAAGATGTGGAATCTTTTTTTATTTTTTTTATTTTTGGCTGTGTTGGGTCTTCATTTCTGTGCGAGGGCTTTCTCTAGTTGCGGCGAGCGGGGGCCACTCTTCATCGCGGTGCACGGGCCTCTCACTATCGCTGCCTCTCTTGTTGCAGAGCACAGGCTCCAGACGTGCAGGCTCAGTAGTTGCAGCTCACGGGTCTAGTTGCTCCGCGGCATGTGGGATCTTCCCAGACCAGAGCTCGAACCCATGTTCCCTGCGTTGGCAGGCAGATCCTCAACCACTGCACCACCAGGGAAGCCCTGTCATATCTTTTTTACACACCTTCTTCAGCACAACACTGCCCTTTTCACAGGAACAATATATTCTTTTTTTTTAAATAAATGTATTTATTTTTGGCTGCTTTGGGTCTTAGTTGCTGCGCACAGGCTTTCTCTAGTTGTGGCGAGCAGGGGCTACTCTTCATTGCAGTGCACAGGCTTCTCGTTGAGGTGGCTTCTCTTGTTGCAGAGCACGGACTCTAGGCTTGCCGGCTTCAGTAACTGTGGCACGCGGGCTCAGTAGTTGTGGCTCGTGGGCTCTAGAGCGCAGGCTCAGTAGTTGTGGCGCACAGGCTTAGTTGCTCTGTGACATGTGGGATCTTCCTGGACCAGGGCTCGAACCCATGTCCCCTGCACTGGCAGACGGATTCTTAACCACTGCACCTCCAGGGAAGCCCAACAATATATTCTTTATTCATGCCCATCTCATGTTCGATAAAAATTTTCTGCTATGTATGTACCTGACCAATTTTCAATGTCTATATTTGCACTGGAGGTTTTTTGTCCCTAAGAATGACTGAAACTACCCCTGTTAAACATCAGTCCATGCTTATACTCTACTTTTCTAATTCATCAGGTTCAGTTGGATTTTTTCCCCTATCTTTCGAATTACTAGCAACCCAATCAAAATTTGCCCCAAATTCAGATGAAAATATTGACCAGAAGGAGCCCAGGACATTATCCTTGCTCTCTTCCCCTACCTCACCAATTCCTCAAAAGGATATCTCATGGGTCCACAATGCTTCAGCATGGAAACTCCTTGGAAACCTGGAGAATCACAGGAAGGTTGAGAACAAAGAAGATAGAAAAATTGTTTAGAAACTGCTCTTACCTCCTGCACATTGGCCAGCTCCAGCAGTTCTCCAAAGACATATACTCCAGGAGCCTCCAAAACTTGGCTTATGAGAGCAGTGAGGGCTGAGCCACTGGTACCTTTGGCTAGTAAGATAAACTGTTCCAGGAGGTTACTTGAGGGTTTCTGTTCGCCTGCCATTCTCTGGTCTTGAGATCTGTCCAAAGAAAAGTATTTCATTCTTCCTTCTCCTTTGCAAAGTCTATGCCTATTTAATGCTGGATCAGACATCAGAATACTTTAATTTTACAGTAGTCAAAAAGGAAAAAACAGCTCCTCAGTCCAGATCTCACTTTGTGAGATGGGTAGCGTTTAACTGGGAGTTAAAGGGATTTTGTCCTTATTCTGAGGTTTGAAATACATTTAGTAAAAGCCACTTCATTCCATCTGGCCCTTTGCCAAAGGCAGCACCATCTAAGCCCTTAAACCTAACCAGGACCTAAAGAAACACAGGAGTATCTCAGTAGGTGTCTTATATCTACCTCATTTTTAGACTCTGGTTAAGAAGCAGAGAATCTTGCCAAAACACAGAGGCAGCAAATGTAAGCAAAAGCAATCAGTTACAGCTTCGGTGTGTCATTAGAATCCCACCTATAGCCAGATGCAGATAAGGAAAGACAAAAAGCAGACAAGAAAGATGGCCCATTTATCAAATAAGTCATTGATCAGATAGAAAAAGGGGGAAATCATCTTGAAAGATAAGCAGCAACATATTCAAACTAACAAAATACACACATACATGCTGTGTAAGTCCATGAGGAAAATCCCTTTATTTGGCCTCCTACTGATATGTGACATTTTACCAAACACGACTTCAGAATTTGTACAAAATCTCAAGAAAACAATAAAAAGATTTGAGAAAACAATGAAGATATACTATTGCCACCCTGAAGACATTAGGACAGGAGGGTTCCCTCAACTGTATAATCTACTTACTACAAGCTGGGTGTGTGAACACACACACTGCGTATCTATTCTACAGGAGCTCTCCATGAGAAAAGATTACTCCTCCAAAAATGATAATATACTGGGCAGTGTGACAAAATGAAGAAGTATAGTACAGCGAAAAAGACAATAAATCAAAAGAGGTTAGCTTCGTGAGAAACTAAGTTTTCCTCTGGAGGCAGGCACCAAGAGTGGCAGCCCTTTCACAGTACTACAAAAGCAAGTATGTCGCTTCATCCAGGATTACCTAAGGAGGTCTTGTCGGAAGCAGCAAAAATGAAGTGCTAGGGAATAAAGGTTGCTGAGGGAAGGGGAAACTGAGGGGAGAGGGTAGGAAGGAGATGTCGGGGGAAGGTGATGGTTAGGAGAGGAAAAACAAAAACCTCGCTTCCAAGTGGACACGTGCGAAGACATTGAATGACAGGGCGTGGAGATGGAGAAGGGGTAGAAAAACGGACAGAACTTCGGTCCCTCAAAAAAAAACCTCGGCCTAAGGAGCAAAGCCCGCGGGGGCAAAGAGATGAGGAGGCGCCGATAATCGCTTTCTTCTAGAGTGAGAGAGCCCGAGGAGGCGGCTAGGAACTCAGGGCAGATGAATTCCCGTCCTAGGGGGAGGCGCTATTTTGATGGACGGCAGAGGGGCAAAGGAGCAGCCTTTACGGGTGGGGAAGCGAGAGCAACCGCGGTGCGGATGCTGAGAGTCGCGGACTGGGGTGGACTTCAGGGTGGGTGGCGTGTTCCAAGCAGAGCCGCGGGTGCAGGGTGATGAGCCGCGGGTCGCGCTCCCCGGAGCGGGGGCGGGGCGGCGTGGCTGAGGGCTTTTCCCACGGCTGGCGCTAAGCCTGACGGCCCAGACGAACCTGGCACGCCGGGCCCCACCCTCTCGCCGGCCCCTACCTGTCCTCGCCGCCTCTCCGTCCTCTCGGTCGCTGGCTTGGCCTCCCGGCGCCTGCCCGCAGGTTGTCAAGCGTCCATGATCGGCCCGGCGTCCGACGCTTTTCTGCCTCCGCCGACCCGTTGCCCTTGCGGCTCCCCCGGAAGCCTCCCGCCGCTGCACTCGAGTTCCGCCCACACTAGGTTCCCCCGCCGCGTTTGCAGCCTCAGATCTCCAGGGCGGCCCCGGCCGGGGAAAGTGGGTCCCGAGCTGGGCTGTAGCCCAGGACAGGGTGGGGGCCCTGAGAAGAGGAATATAGCCTAGGCAGTACTTGGCCCCCCCCAACCATCGCCATCACCATCCTGGGCCCTAAATCCATCCTCTTTGGCCGAGCTTTACCCTCAGAAGTTCCGTAGGGCGACTGTGGCTACCCTCGGGGTACAGAGACATACTAAGCCTAATAACTACCGTTTACTGAGCGTTTTTCCATGTGCCAGGTGCTGTACATTGTCTCACTGAATTCTCATAGTAACTCTAGGCCTGTCTATATTATTCCCATTTTTCAGGTGACATAACTAAGCCTAAAAATCCAAAAGCCAGGGACTTCCCTGGTGGCGCAGTGGTTAAGAATCTACCTGCCCATGCAGGGGACACAGGTTCAAACCCTGGTCCGGAAAGGTCCCACAGATCATGGAGTAACTAAGCCCGTGAGCCACAACTACTGAGACTGCATGCCACAACTACTGAAGGCTGTGCACCAACAGCCTGTGCTCCACAACAAGAAAAGGCACCACAATGAGAAGCCCGCGCACTGCAAAGAATGGCCCCTGCTCGCCGCAACTAGAGAAAGCCCTCGCGCAGCAACATAGACCCAACACAGCCATTAATTAATTATTTATTTATTTAAAAAATCCAAAAGCCGGTAAGTATGAAAGTCTGCTTTGAGGGCTTCCCTGGTGGCGCGGTGGTTAAGAATCCGCCTGCCAATTCAGGGCACACGGGTTCGAGCCCCGGTCTGGAAAGAGCCCACATGCCGCAGAGCAACTAATCCCATGTGCCACAACTACTGAGCCTGTGCTCTAGAGCCTGCCAGCCACCACGGCTGAGCCCACGTGCCACAACTACTGAAGCCCGCACACCTAGAGCCGGTGCTCCGCAACAAAAGAAGCCACCGCAATGAGAAGCCCGCGCACCACAACGAAGAGCAGCCCCTGCTCGCCGCAGCTAGAGAAAATCCACGCGCAGCAACCAAGACCCAACTCAGCCAAAAATAATTTAAAAAAAAAAAGCCTGCTTTGAAACCCAGGCTATCTGAAGCCAAAGACCATGCTCTTCATCTTTATTCAGAAAATATTTTAAAATAAGCAGAAGATGGGTTGAGCCAACAATGGTTCTGTGACCAAAATGACATTCGTGGCGTTGCATTTGGTACTTACCAACTCCCCTGGAAGATGGATAAGAATGCCATGTAACTGAACACTTAGGCTGGTTCCTTTAAAGTATACACCACAGACTTTCAGGTCTTGAAGATGAGGAAAAAAACCCTATTACCTTTCGTGCATTCGAGTGCAGAAATTAGACAGATACAAAGGAGCCGAGCACCAACGCATTCATTTATTTTAAAATTTTCTTTAGCACATATTATGTTCTAGAAGTTTATATGAAGATAAGACAAGGTTCTTGCCCTCAAAAAGCTTCAATGTGTTAAGTGCTATGAGAGAGAGATGACAATACTTCGGAAGCACAGAAGAGAATGTGTTGAGGAAGAGAAAGTGGACATCTTATGGGCAAAAAGGGGAAGAAAAGAGGGCAGTGACCATAGTCACAGAGGCCTGCACTGTGCAGCATACACTAATGCAGAGAAGAAACCCACAGTGACTGGAACCCAGGGTTCAAGGGTAAGAAATGAGGGCTACAGAGCTGGAGTCAGGTCATCAAGGTTCTTGGAAACCACATGCACAGCCCTATACTCAGTAAAAATCTAAATACAGCAAAGTTCCTACCTGGGAGAGCTCAAGGTTCCTGGGAGAGACAGGTCCATCTGGCTAGGACAGATGATGCCACAAGGAGCCCCAGGGGTACAGATAAGGCTCTCCTGGCTGTGTCCTGGAGAGAGGTGGTTTAAGGAAGCCTTCTGGAGGAAATGAGGCTTGAGTTGAGCCTGGAAGAAAGAGCAAACTCTTTTAGAGTTTGTTTGTTTGTTTTACCTTAAGGGCACTGGGGAGCTATTTAGGGTTTTTAAGCTGTGGAGGGGTCTGGATAATTGCCATTTTGGACACTAGCTGCTATAGGAATGTATTGGATGTGGACAGAACTGGAGGCTGGGAAACCCTTGAGGTGACTGATGTATCCCAGTTAAGAGATTGTGAGATCTTGAACAAAGGTAGCTGCAGCTGGGCATGAAATAGAAGGGACATTGTTGGAGACATTTAGATACCTCAGAACCTATCAGACCTGGTGACCAGTTGAATGCAGGGATAGAAAAGGAAGATACCCCCCAGGATTCTGGCTGGGGAGGCCAGAGCTGTCTGGAGGTGGTGTTAGAGGACAGGGCTGCAGAGGAGAAGGAGCAAAGTCGGTGGTAGAAGGAGAACAACTAAGTTCTGTTTAAGTTCATAAATATTCCAGCTGTGCCTCCCCGGCCTCCAGAATAATGTCCAGACTCCAAGGCTGCAGTTAAGGCCCTTCTCAGTGTGCCTCCCTCCTACCTATCCAGCTTTGTCTCGCCCCACCTCATTAGAGCCCAAACTCCATGCCTTCCCGGCCTAACAGGACTCACATCTTCCGTCTCTGACACCAGGGCCTATGCTCAAACTTGCTCTCTCTTCCTCTTCGCAGTGCTCTTCCCTCATATTTCTCTGTTCAAATTCCACCAACCATGTAGGCAAAGATTTAAACAATGCAAAAAGCACTAATCATAAAAAGGAAGCACTGAACTACGGCACTTGACTAAAATGAAGAACTTCTCTTCTCAGAAGACACCAGTACAAGACTAAGAGGCAAGCCACAGACTTGGAGAAGATATCTACAAAGCATGTATCGGACAAGGAACTCCATATCCAGACTATATAAAGGACAACAAATCAATAAGAATTAGCCCAATTAAGAAAGTGGGCAAAAGACCTGAACAGGCACTTCACAAAAGAGGACATCAAGTAGCCAACAAGCATGTGACAAGGGCTCAACACCAAAGACAATGTAAATGAAAATTATAACGAGATACCACATTTAGCCAAAATGGCTAATATTTTAAAAACTGACACCACCCTCTATTGCCAAGGGTAAGAGTCAACTAGAACTCTCTTATGTTGCTGGTGAAGGTGAAAATTGGTACAAACATTTTGGAAAACTGGCAATATCTACTATTGCTGATCGTATGCCGTCCACACAAGCCAGCAACTCCTCTCCTAGAAATAAATGCATGAATCCACAAAAAGAAACATTTAAGAATGTTCACTGCAGCTTCGTTAATAAAAGCCAGAAACTGGTAAATGAAAACCAAAATGCCCATGAACACTAGAGAAGGTAAATGGTGCTACACACATACAATGGAATACTACTTAGCAATTAAAAAAAAAAAAAGCTACTGCTACATACAACATGGATGAATCTCACAAAAATATTGATGAAGGAAAAAGGCCAGACTCATATTGTACTTACTGTATGATTACATTTAAATGAAAGTCAAGAATAGCAAAATTGATCTATGGTAATAGAAGTCAGAAGAGTGGTTATCAGGATGGAAGGATGCAGCACTAACTGGGCAGGGGCACCCTGGGAAGGGTGCTGGAAATGTTCAGTATCTGGATTTGGGGGTTGGTGACAGGTGTATACATATGCCAAAACTGTGCTCTTGCTGTATGTGTTACACTTCATTAACAAAAAAATTTTACAGATAAAACTTTTTAACACAGAAAAATATCCTACCCATGCCACCTCCTCCATCAAGTTTTGCCAGCTGAAATATATCTTTCCATGGGGGCCTCTGTAGCATTCTAATGTCCTTTCTTTTGTGCCATTCATCACAGTTCATCTTGAATTTCAGTGGAGTCTCTTTTTTTCCCTAACTAGATGGTTATCTTGCTTGTGGCAGTGACCATGCCTTTCACCTTCTACCAACAGAGAGTCTGGCAAATAACAAAAGCTGAAAAAGGTGTTTGTTGAATTACATGGAAGGAAAACTTGGGTGGGTGCCCAGATAGGCGAAAGGGGTACAGGAAGAGGAAGGAAGGCCTAGGAAAAGAGATAGCAGATCTCCAAGGAAACCTTAAGATACCTAGTTTCTGAAATCGTATTAAATGTCACCTTGAGTAAAAAAGAACAAATCAAAATACCAAGTCTTACCTAGACTGTGGATAAACAAACATTGCACTCCTTCACTTGCAGGAAAGCCACCAAATAAATGTTTACCTAATGTCGACTGAAGAAAAATGCACAACCTAAAAGTTGTGAGTTATGTTTTATTTGGGGACCTTACTGAGGACTATAGCCCAGGAGACAGCCTCTCAGATAGCTCTGAGGAACTGCTCCGAAGAGGTAACAGAGGAACCAGGATACAAAGGACTTTTTGCTGAAAAGAAAATATGTAATTCAACACCAAAAGATTAGTACTAATCAACAAAAAACAGACATCTCAAATAAATGATTTTAGTGCTTTTCTATGTATGGGAAGATGCAAGTGTCTGAGCTCATTGAAATTATTCCTTAGATATGCATCTTAATTATCTGGGGCAAGTATCCTGTTTTTCTCCATCCTGAATTCCCCTCTGGGCCCATCTTCAAGGGTGGCTTCAGTGGCTGATGGCTTGATGGTGGCCAAAAGTTGTTGTTGTTTACTGGAATGGCAGGCAACATTGTTTACTGAAAATGGCAGACAACACCTCTGGGTGTTTCAACGGTGATGGGAAGACTTCACCAAGCAGAGTAAGATCGCATAGCCATGCTGCTAAAAATATCATCACCTTAGTGTAGTGGAAAAAGCCCAGACTGCAGGAGACTTAGAGCCGAATTCTAACTCTGCCCCAACTTGCTGTGATCCCTCAACAATCTCTTTGCCTCTCTGGGCCTCAGTTTCTTCATATATAAAAATAACAGGGGTTGGATTAGCAAATTCTCTGAAGTCTAACTGTACTGATATTCTGAGTATACAATCGATATCTCTCTCAGTCCAACGCAGGAGCACACCAGAAACCCCTGCAAAACACCTAAACGGCGCCCCAGGCCAACGAACAAGTACGACTTGAAGGAGTCATTTGTTATATTATCTTTCATAATTTAATCAGTGTTTGTGTTTGTTGTTTCGTCCTTACCATGATTTGCAGGAGATTTCTGAGTTCCATGCAAATAGAAGTTACCTCTCTGTGGGCTGTCATCTTTTGAGGCTGAAGAGGATCTTCCCGCCTGGTTTCAAGTCTAGGGATTCAGAAACCACGAAACCTACAAGCAGGTTTATGAACTTGCGCGCATTGCGCGGCACACTGGAATCTAAGTTACAGAGGAATTGAGTGCAGGGGATGCTGGGATTTGTAGTCCCTGGGCTTTCTGTTGCGTGTTGGGATCTGTGGTCCCCCGGGCTCTCCCCTGGAATTCTGGGAAGTGTAGTCTCCGCCACATCGCACAGGGCAACCTGCCGTTATCTCAGAGCCCTACTGTGCCCAGCGGCAGGAGCGGGCTCGAAGCGAGCGTCTGCAGATCTGAAGCCAACCCTCCGCAGGGTCAAACTCTAGGCAACACCACCAAATGAAAATTTTGTCCTACGGGACTTCCCGGGGAGGGCCCTTCCCATTGACGCTCTCCGTCCCCCTGCGAAGCCGCTGAATGTTTCTATTGGTTGATCAAGATGCCAATCGCCGAGGCAGGCTTTCCATTGGCTTCAGAGCGGGCGCTCCGAGGCTAGAGGGAAGGAGAAGGGATCAGGAGCGGGAGCTGAGGGAAAAGAGGTCGGTCCGGGTCTGGACGCTGTCGCTGCTCGCCCGAGGTCTGCAGGCCGGGCTGCGGCTCAGTCCTCGGCTCCTGGGCACAGTCTACGGAGGCTCCGCCGGGCCAGCGTGGGAGAGCCGCAGGCGGCGGCCGCCGCATCATGTCAACCAAGGACGAGCGGGCCAGGGAGATCCTGAGGGGCTTCAAACTGTATCCTCCCGGGAGCGGGGCTGGGCCGGGAGGACTTGGGAGGCGGCCGCTCACTGAGGAGACCGGCCGGGGGCGGGCCGCGCCAGGTGGGCACCCGAGGAGAGGGCGGCGGGAAGGGAAAAAAGGAACGCCGTCCCAGGCCGCCGGCGGGACCGGGCGCGGGAGGCGGGGAAAGGGGCGTCCGGAGGGAGGGAGGGGAGGTTGATGGGGGCCCCGTGGGTAGAAGCGGAGGAGCCGCGGAATTGGGCTGAGAGAGGGGCCGGGCGTCGGAGACAGGTGTCGAGAGGCGCGCTTGGGTCCGAGAAGAGAGGCCGGGAAGGGGCTGCGGCCCGCAGGGGAGGGCCGAGGGGGCGCGGTGGGCTGGCCTCGAAGCCTAGCTGCCTCTTTGGCGGGAAGCCCACCAGGGCAGCAGGGAAAAGTGACTTGGAGCGAGTGACCTTGTGTGGGACAAATGCAGGCGCTGGTGTTGAACTCTCTCGGGTTCTCCCCTCCTACCCCCCCTCCCACCCCGGTCTTGTTTCCACAACTTCTCTTGCTCACTTGTGGCTTTTTCCAGGGTTGGAGCGGAGGAAGGTGGGGAGTGAGAAGTCCGAGGTGGACCTCATCTTAACTCTGTCTTGGCCCTTGGAGGCACTGGACGGTCGCTGCTTCTCCCTCAGATCCTCAGTTTTCTTTCCAGCGGAATGAGAACCCTAAATTTGCGCGTGCGAAGCCTTGAGGAGTTATGGTTTTGCACTGGGACTCCTGGCAAAGGTGTCTGCTCCCTCGATTTTGTGTGGTTAACGGGTAGACATGGTGGAGCTGTCCAGCAATTATTTGATGACGTTGGGGACACGGTAGCATTTAGCAGCATATCGAAATCATTGCCTCAGGCCTGTGGTGGTGCCGCGGGTGCAACCTTCTCCCCTTCCGTAGTGAAGCTTTGTGTTTTAATGGAATGTTAATCTGTGACCATATGATGCAGATGAAAAAACCCAATCTCGTTCATTCCAGTCTTACATTTTCCTGCTGACCTTAATCTCTTCTTACATCCTATGGCTACAATATGGAACACTCTTAAATTCGTCTCTCAGTGACGATGTAGGGTTCCTCTCCTGGAGGTTTCGTCAAGCACCGTTCTCTGAGCTGCCAGTGTGTTTCCACAGTGACCATTTCACCCCTGCAAATTTTAATTGCTTTGTCATAATCAGAAACCAAGTTGGTAGTAAGTTTTAGAACACAACAGCAAAAAAGTTACAGGAAGTTTTGGATGTACAAATGAAACTTTTCAAATGGAAGCTGACCTGCTGTGCTTTTTTTTTTTAAGGGAAGGCTCTTAAAAAAGGCCTTTACATACTGCCATTCATGATGAACTTTCAGTACTTTTATGCAGTGATGTTTAGTAACAGCCTCTTTTATAGCTCCATGTACCTTCCCGTGTTTCTCTTCATAATAGTGCCTATAAGTAGATAGGCATGGCTGAAGTATTAGAAAAGCTATGACATGGATTTTATTTTTCCCTTAAGTAATTTATATTATTACTTAACGTTTATGCTGTAAACAGTAAACTGGAGACTGGAGAATTGAGAGATTTCACAAGCCATGTTTTTGTCTGGAGTTAACATTGTTGCTGAAAGTAAGAGTCTTTTTAATGGCTTTTGAACACCCCAAAAAGGGAAAGTTTGAGCTTCTCACCTTCAGTCTTGTCTCTTGAACCTTGTTCAAGAGAAACTTTGGCTCTTGAGAAAGAGGCTAAGGGACAAATATGGAAAAGAATAGAAAGCAGAATCTGTGTTGTTTAGTGCATCAAGAAGCAGGTTTTCAGGGAAAATTTGACCTGGGCTGATTAAATCACAAGGGAAGCAGCCACCAAAAAACAGTTAGCATGGGAGCAAAGGAATGCTCATCCTCTGGTGGCCTTTATTGGCATCTGAGAATTAAGAGAGAAAAGGAAAGGAGTTCTAGGATTTGTTACTACCTTCAGGAGAAAATAAAATTAACATTTTAGTAAGAAACTACCTGACTATTGTCCACCTTTTATTGCATAAATTGTTTTTCTGAACTTTCACAGCATCTGTTTCTGAAGAGTTTTTACTACAAAAAGAAATCGCCATTTTTTTATTCTGCCAACAATGTTGATAATCCTCATTTGCCACATTGACTATGTTGGGCTTTTTTATTTTTGTCAGTTTGAACAACAGATGACATCTTGTTTTAATTTGTATTTCCCTGATGCCTAGATCCCTGGAGAGGTCATATAGGACAGTGGTTCGGTGCTATACTGGCCTGTAGAGCTACACTCTCAGCATTGGAATTCTAGCCCTGCACTCCTGGTTGTGTGTCCCTGAGCAGCTTCTTTAACTGCTGCCACAATTTCCTCCACTGTAAAAAGGGATAAAAATAATACCTTATCTCCTAGGGTTGTTGGGAGGATTAAATGAGTTGATATTGAAAGCACGTAGCCAAGCTCCTGATGCCTAGTAAGCATTATGTATTAGCTATTATGGTTGTCGTTGTTGTTAGTAGAGAAGTCACGGAATCTTCTGTTTGGCCATTTCTTTTTCTTCGTGAATTGCTTGTTGATATTGAATTGTTTATTTTTCTTACTGCTTTGTAGGTGTTCTTTCTTGTAGTATCAATCCTTTGCCTGTATTGTACGTTGCACATCTTTTCTCTCAATGTATTGCTTGTCTGTTTTTTGTTGAACAGAAATTTTAAATTATCACTTCAAATTCATCAATATTATTCATGTGGCTTCTGAATTTTGTGTCTCGTTTAAGAAGACCTTCCTTATCTTCAGGTTAATTAAATAGCCTATGTTTCTTTCTCTTTGTAATGTTTAGCTCTTTAATCCATCTGAAATGTATTTACACAGATGGTATGTGGTAGAAATCTAACTTCCTTTGCTATTTGGATAGCCAGTTGCCCACTACTGTTTCCTAAGTAGTTAGGCCATCCTTTCCCCTCTGTTTTGAAAGCTATCTTTGGTGTCAAATACTCAGTCTTCATAAGACATGGGTTTATTTTTGGAATATTTCTGTTTCATCGGTCTGTTTATCTCTTCCCATTCCTTTCCTGTACGCATTAGTTCAATTATTATAGTTTTATAGTATGATTTAGTACAGTTTACAATAGGATTGATATGTCATGAACAGAGTTATGTGTTTGAAGTCATATTATAAGTTCCTTGTAAATATTCATGCCCTTTTTATACAAATAGAAGCTTGCCCATATGCCCATAATAGATACTCAGTAAGTATGAATAACATACTTCATAAATCAGGGATAGTCTTTGTGTCTGAGAGAATTCAACATAAACTTTTGTATTTGTAATAAGTCTTTTCAAAAATAAAATATTTAAAAAAATTTTTTTTTTCTTTTGGCCACACGGGCTTGTGGGATCTCAGTTCCCTGACCAGGGATCAAACCTGTGCCCCCTGCAGTGGAAGCTCGGAGCCCTAACCACTGGACCGCCAGGGAATTCCCAAGATTTCTTTTCCACATCATCTCCACCCCACTGCTTTTAGCTCATACACATTAAGAGTCTTACATTTATTTCTTGTTTGTTAAAAACATAACATTTTGTAGTTATAAACTAACGTTGTGAATGAAATATTACTTGAGGAACAAATATGATTCTCCTGCAAAGTTTTGAATTTGAGTATTTTAAGTAGCTGATATGGAGATTTTGTTTGTAAATCCTGTGTTCCCCATTTCATTCATTCAACAGAGGTCTTTCGGGAGACTTCTGAACAGGCACTGTGCGCTTAAAGGACATAAAAATGAATGAGTCACAAACCCTTATTTCCAGAAGTCTAACCATCTTTGTGTCTGTTTAGAAGGGATATCTTCAAAAGCAATGCATTTTTTAAAATAGTATTGAATTTTTCTTTTACAAACTCCAGCTACCTAGAAATGACCTTTGTTAATATTTCAATATAGCCTTCTGATGTACCTAATGTTTAATGTGTTTCCTTTTATTAAAATGGAATCATAAGTATTATTTTGAAACTTTTAAACTTAATAAATTTACCACGTTCATAATTTTCGAATATAGTTGCTTTCAGTTGCTTTCAGTGACATAGATTTGTCACTGAAAGTCTTATACTAGTTTTCTAGTATAGGCTGAAATGCCCTGTTCAGCCTGTTCAAATTACTTTTTCCTCAACATAAATCCATAATTTTATTAAATTAATACCAAGAAACTGACACATTGCCATAAGAAAGGATTATGCTTTTATGATTTCATTATTTTTGATCCATCTGGAATTTGCTTGGGTGTAAGGTATGAAGCAGATTTAATTTTTTTAAAGATTAGCTAATTGTCTCCATTTCTTTCTTTACTTATACTCCAGATATTAATATAATATCCAGAATATAATTGACTGCCTGCAAATCAATAAGATAAATATTTAACTCAAAATGGGCAAAGGATATGAACAAATAGTTCACAGAAGAAAGGTGCAAATGACCAATGAATAAATTCAGAGATGTTCAACCCTATTAAAACAACAGACTATCCCTTTTTTCCCAATTAACTGACAAAAATTTAAAAGACTGATAATATTCAGTGTTGGCAACTATTGCGGAAAAGGGATGCTTCATTTGCTCTGTGTGTGTGTGTGTGTTTGTGTGTGTGAGTGTGTGTGTGTGTGTGTGTGTGTGAGAGAGAGAGAGAGAGAGAGAGAGAGAGACCTTTATGGAAAGTAATTGATATCTATCAAAAGTTTACGTGTAAGTGCAGTAAAGCAGAGAGCTGTCATCAGTAGACTCTAGGTTCAGACTTTATTACCCCACCACTGTGACCCGAGGCAGAGCACTCAAACTCTGAACCTCACTATCCATTTCATTTCTTTAGAGGGTTGATATGAGCATTAAATGAGACTGCATATAAAATGCTTAGTACAGTGCCTCGCATACAGTAATAAATGTTAACTGCTGTATTATTTTTTTATTAATACTTAATATTATTAACGATAATAATAGCGTTAATATTTCTGTAAAACCACTTATTTTTCTGA